ATTGTAGACATTGTGGGACTCTTGTTTAGTTTCACTGCCTCCAAAAAGCCATGACTCATCATTTGTTGGATCTACACGTTTCAATCCTAGTTTCTGCACAATATCTTTTCGTATGAAAGATCTTTGAATACCAGTATTAAATAATTCATGAATGATTTCAGACCTGTCATCATCGATGATTTTCACCAATACAGTTAACAATAATGTTGGCAAATTTTTTGGTGACCAAAAAAAAAAAAAAAAAAAAAAAAAAAAAAAAACCCTGTGCATCCAATTCAGACTGTTTGTCTTGTTTTGATAGATTTATATTTGGACACATAATGCTGTGGTGTTTTTTCTTGTATATAATATACTTTAAATAAGTTTTGCAGATCTTAGAACTGTGTCCTGGTTTCAAACAGATGAAACAAGCCCCCCTTTCCTTCAAGGTTTCCCTTTTCACCTCCAGTGACATCTCAATAGCCTTAAAGCATTCTGAGGTATTATGAAACGACTTGTTAGAAAATAAACAATGCTTGCCATTTTTCTCAGCTCTTTGCTTTTCATTAGATACAGTGCAAGCTGCAGTGAGAATTTTTTCTTTCATTTAAAATTTTCCAAATTCTTGATCATTTGCAAACCCTGATCGAGCAAGGTGTAACCACTTTTCACTTTCGACTTCCAAACGAAGAAATTCTAAGTTTTCTAACATGTTCATCTTGTCTTTATTTTCTGCATAGTTATGTGTGCGTTCCCACTTCACAAGCATAAATTTGAATTAATAGTTCATCTTTAGCAAAACGAGATTTCAGGTGTTCAGTAGCATTATAATAGTTTTCGCCAAATGGTGGAAAACTTGCAACTAAACCTCTGGCCGATGAACCTTCTTCAGTTGCTTGTAAAAGATACTGAAATTTGTCATCTGCATCGATGCAATCATCATGATAGATTTTTTAAATTGTTCCCAGAATCCTAGCCAGTTTTTAATATTACCATCAAAAAGTTTCAACTCTAACTTAAAAAGGTGAAAATTTTGCTTAGTTTCAGTTACTACACTGAAAATATCGCCCTTTCTTTCAGTGTTGATAACATTAAACATTAACTTTCGTTTTCATAGCAACCCACTGATTTCGATAGCTTTTCTTTAAATCCATATCATTAGAAAATTCATCTTCATTACAATTTCCCATTTCTAGCCACATTACTTTAACTTTTTCATCTAACTGAAATAATCTATCAGCTTTATCATTAAATATATTAAATATAGATATCAAATCCATCTTACTTTCTGCTTCAGCTTTTAGAACAGTTTCCACTGATTTCAAGGAAGTTGTGAAATATCGCCGTAATTGTGTTCTTTCCCGTTTGAAATTATCCGTAGTCCTGCTGCACGGATGTCAGTATTTTAAAGGATTCGAAAATAACTATAGATTTAATGTAAAAAACACTTTAATTGCAGATATTTACAAAATTTAGAAGCAGTTATTACAAACAGCAGCAAAAATTTAGAAGCAGCTTACAATGATAGAGCTTAATTTAACTCGCGAGCACGTGCGCCAAAATTACGAACACGAGAAGGCGCACTGGGTATATCATACTCGAAAGCAATTAACACATTTTAAATTACATTAATAATATAAATATGAGTATAAATGTGGATTAGCATAAAAAACAATGAACTTTAGAATATTTTAAAGAATATAATAAATGAAGTACTTAACATGCATTTATTTTGCACATCTCTGGCAGACTGAATACATATGCTCTATACAAATACTGACATTACATTTCTTGCACAGAAACCGTGTCTTTCTGTCCTTGTTTTTAGAGCACTCAGCGCATCTTCTGTAAACATTTTTCATCTTTCTAGATGGTGGTTCCATGTTGCAATCTCCTGAAATAATTTTTTTCTTTTAGTTTCAAAGGGATAGTGATTTGCTGCCGCCGTTGATATGAGTAATCTTCCACTTTCGAGTAACCAGTATTTCCTAGAATTTTAAAGATAATGTTTTTAGAACTAGTCTTAACATTTGTTCGGAATTTGTTTTTCTTCCATACCAAGCCATGTTTACCAACATAATTTTCATCATTTCATTGATTTTCTAATTCACTATCTAATTCAGTGTCTGTACTACTGTCTGTTGATGAATTATAATTGCTGTTGTGTTCTTCATCTATTAATTCTTCCTCCTCTTCTCTAAACATTTCATCGTCTGTTGAAATGGTTTCTAGCATATTTCTCAACCTTTTCCATTTCTTTAACATCAGATTATATGCCGCTGTCCATGCTGACTTAACTGAAAAAGTGAGGGTGAAAATCTGAGACACGCGAGAAAGCGTGCGTGAGTGTCACATACTTAAACAGTACAATTCCTAGAAAAGTATTCGAAGAATCACTTTACGGATTTCCCAGCTTCATGAATGTGACCTTGAATTCAGCTACAAAAGGTTTTGTCCTTTTCCAGAAAAGGAGTTTTGAGGTAAGGGACAAAGAATATGTTCCTGGGTATGAGATACCCGGCGCGTGTGCTCGCTGGTTAAAACATAAAATTTAAACAGAGTTGAGTTGTAGCTGGTATTACTCAAACCAAGCCTCTGGAGGACTAGATCAAAGGTCAATTTTTAATATTACTGTTAATAATTCCATAGTTATTAAATAGTAATTTAACCATGTGTGTTAAATGTAAGCATCATAGGGTTCAGTGTAATGTGGCTGGACAGTAACTTCTTTTATTTTATTAAGGTATTTCTGTAACCATATTCTGTATGTATGAGGTACAGAGTTGTTTTAATTTAAAACTTTCCAACCTTGTACTGATTTTCTTTCTTATAAAAAATGCTTATATTTTTATGCATAGTATTTTTATGTCACAGTAATCCTCATCATTCATTTTTAATGCATAGGTAAGCTTTCATGTGCATACAAATTGAGAAAATTATTGTTTAGTAATTCAGGCTTTCTGTAACAATTAATTTATCCTTCCTGAGAAAAAATCTGCAGACACTTCCATATAAAACTTTGATTATTTGTCTATTATTTTTCCCTTGTCTTGCAGTTGTTGTAATGGTCATCTACTTAGTTACAATCTTTGTAATAATTTCAAATGTATAGTGAATGCCAAATCAGCAATATAAGAATCTGACCTTTTAGATTTTTTTAAAAAAGTTTTCTTATATTTGTCATCTTCCAAATCCTCGAATAAAAGCTTTCTAGTATCAGCTTAGTTGTTGGATTCCAAAATGAATGCTAATTTAATTATGCATCTAATATACTGAACAAGAATGCATCATCCGCTTCTTTCAAATCCTCATATCAAAATTATTATTGGCTGGATTTTTAAACTTGGATATATTTTTATAATGAATATATTCGTAGATATTATCTAAACATAGTATATTGTGCTATTGGTAACATAATGGCACAAATTAAATTGACCCTCAAGGGCACAGAAGTGCTGCAACTGGTTTTAAGGAATTATTATCTTCACCTAATGTTTTTCAATTTTGTATGTGTATGTGTTTATATATATATATGTATATATATATATAAACATACACACATGCAAAATTGAAAAAAAAACATATATATATATATATATATATATATATATATATGGGGGAGTATGTAAAATCAATACATTATACACGCACACGAAATACATTATACATGCAGGGTAATGCAAGAAAATACTAGGCACGATTATATTATTTTTTTAAATCGTTCTGTAGATATATATATATTTATATATATATATTTATATATATGTTAGTGCATATATATATATGTGTGTGTGTGTGTTGTGTATAGAATCAATACCTTTCAGAATATTTTAATAGTAAACAGAGTACAAAACATTTTTGTGTAATGAATGCTTTTGTATTTGTAATATATATACATGAAAAAATTGGGAATTTGGACTAATTTTGGTCAAATAGTCAGCACTGTGGATAATTGAATGTAATAAATCAAGAGGTAAAAAAAAAAACTGTTATAACTATGATTAGATTAAAGAAAGATATGCTTTGGAATTATGAGTTCTTTTTAAAAATGTAAATGAAAAATTTTAATGCTATCTTTTCCATTTAGTAATAACGATACAAAAGTTTGTCACATTTCCAAAACTGTTCAGATGGCAGATGTTTGTGAATTTCAGCACTTCATAAATGGGTCTAGCAGTATGAAAGTTGTAAATCTTTCATAAAAAAGTTCATAAAAGTAATTTGCAGGTTAAGGTGTCATAAAATCAAGAGACTACTACTGTGAATGAAAATGTCAGTAAAAAACATAAATATATATCCTCTTAATTAGATCTTTCACAGTCTAATGCACTTAATTTTAAATGCTATTTAAGTTTTGGTTTAAATAAATCAATTCATTCTTTATATTACTGCAATCTTTGTGTTACTTATATTTTAATTTTCTCTGCATTCAGTGCAAACAATATCTGTGTTGTATAGTTGTTAAATTTTTGTACCCATAAAAAGTTAAAGAAATTTACTAATATTGTTAAAAGTATTTTGCTTCAATTAAGCAGAGCTATATAAACATGGAAAGTGGGTTCAGTGATTGAGAGTTAACTTTCTGTTTTAAAAGCAAATGTCACATTTTGAAGTATAAATTTTTATAACATACTGATTAATAGTCTTGAGACAGTGTGTATATATATTCCTTCTGTTGAATGTAAGGTCTAATTACAATGGCATATGATTATTTTTTTTTATTTTGTAATTCCTCTGTCACTTTAAATCCTGTTTTCATTTGAAAGTGTGTTTAGATTATTTCCTGTGGTAGTACAGTAAAGTGTCGTACTGTTTTGATTTGTTTTTCAGGCTAGTTTTCAAACATATGGAACCATTCAAACAGATAATGTGTAAACATTTTTCTTTTCTGGCAATTTTTTTTTAATCTTATTGTTATAAAACGATGTATTATAGTTTACCATGTCTTTCTTTCAAACAAACATGCAAAGTGCAGTTAATATACCTTATTCATATAATGTATATATAATTTCTTGCTTCAGAATGATGACAAACAGGAAATACCACTAGAATCTCATCCTCGCCATCGAACAAGGCCAAGAAAGGTTTTTGAAAAACTGTCTAACGTAAGTTGAATTAAATTGATTTCATTTCATTTCCCTTGTATCATTTAAAAGTTTTTGAAAAATGAATGACAGTTTAATTATTCTTTGTAATTTAAATGCAGTATTAGGTACAAATAAACATCTCATTCGGTATTGATACTGCTTATTGTGTTAATAGTTAAAACTGTTTTCAGTGTCAAAAGCATAAAATTCTACAAGTGCTTGCTATTATATTAGAATCTTCCTACAATTCCAGAATAATATTGTGTTAGTATTAAGATGTCTGAAACTTCTGAAGCTTATGTTATGGAAAGATTTCTTCTTAACTCAGTTCCAGAATATTGTTAACTAGTTTATGATGTCATATATGTTTATATGAAGTAGAAATGATGGGGTTAAGTATAATAACTGAATTCTTTTTTTTCTAATTCCGTTCTTACAGACATTGTAGGAAAAAAAAACTAACTTGGGTTCTTCTTCAAAAAAAGAAAAAAAAAAAAAAAACTGAATTTATTTAAATCATATAATGTATTTCTTAATTCAGTATGAATTTATATATAACGCTTATCAGTTGAGTGTCAGTTTATATAAAGATGAGGTATTCAGATTTAAATTTGATAAATTTCACTTTAAAAGAGCAATGACCACTCATTTCTATTTTCCACATATTGTATTTTTCTGCAATTCACATATTGCATAATGAAGACTGAAAATTTATTCATATAAGTGTTTCCTGCTGTTTGCATCTTTAAGCAGCAAAAAATCTCAATTTATGCATTTTTTTGGGAGGACCATTCTACTGTACATAAATTTAGATTTTCTTCTGCTGTTTAACCATAAACTTGGCATTTTGAAGGGCAATAAAGGCTACAGTTCATATTCTCTACCTTCAGAGGATTTTACATCCATTTACAAAAGTGCTGCAATATGAAATACAGTCAAAATTCCTTAATCCGGATGTCCATAATCCGGAATGATCTATAATCCGGACCTCAAAGCTACAAACTTTCTGCACATGCGTAAACGCGACACATGCGCAAATGCGTTTATGCAGGCACATAATACCTTTACGCATGCGCATAATACGTTTACACATGCACGTTTAATGTATAACGAACGGTGTAAGCTAGGTTAAAATTATCTAATTATCTATTTCAGGTAATTTTGCAGATTGTGTAGTTTTTTAATCTTCTAATTGGATCCGGCTTATTATTTTTTGCAGACTGTAAGAGCAATTTTCTAAAAGTAAGCTTGAAGTTTTGATTATGTCAAAAAGAATTTCCGATTCTGGAGCTGCCAAAGGATCTACAAAGCGAGCGTGTTTTGATGTCCATAAAAAAAAAGTGAATCGCTGCAAAAAATGGATAAAGGCATACCCTTTGTTTCTCTAACCATTCTGAAATCTGTTTATCAATTTCACGCTGCTCTGCGGGGAAAGGGGGGAACTTCGCGGCACACAATGAACTGGAAGTTGATCTGTCAGCACTATCCTTATCTTCAGGGCAGATGTTTTTATTCTATTCAGCTTATAATTCCTTACTAAATGTAGTATTTCATCTCGATGTACTCTGATATGATTTAAATCAAATTCCTCGTCATTATAAATATCGCAAATACACTTCAAATAGTTTTCGGGTTGCAATTTTCTAATTTTGACTATGCGTAATGTATGCTTTACGCATGTGCGCGTTGAAAGAAATGTTTAATAAAGTAAACAAATAAATATTAAGCTTTTTTTTTTTATTTTTATACCCTTTAGATCATAATTAATCTTTATTTCTTAAATTATGGTTTCATATTTTTAACTTTATAATTTCTGCATGCCATCTTACCTGATATAAACTGATGATCTATAATCTGGAAAAACCAATGACCCGGAATCGCCGAAGTCCCGACGAGTCTGGATTAAAGATTTTTGACTGTACCTCTTTTATTTTCACACATGAATATTTCTGTATATGATGTTATTTTCTACTAACAACCAAGTGGTTTATGCATCCAAATAGTGATAATTTTCCTCTGGTCCTATTCTTAATGGTTGAATGACTGGTTACATATAATTTCCTAGTTTTTCTCATGTGTAACATACACTGAAGATCCAAAACATTATGAGCACCTCCTCAATAATGTGCTGCGTGACCTTTGGCTTACAAAACAGCTGCAACTCTCATTGGCATTGATGCCACAAGTTCTTGGTAGATGACTGGTGACAGGTTGTACCAAATATCTAAGCAGTGGTCATGCAAAGTCAAGATATTCCAACGTAGAGGTGTTTGGGCTCTGAGCTGCTGCTCTATGACATCACAAATGCGCTCTATCAGGGTAAGATCCGGTGAGTTAGGTGGACAGGACATTAATTGGATTTCATTCTTCTTATACTCCTCGAACCAGTCCAACACAATTTGACCCATGTGGCTTCCCCCCCCCAAAAAAAACTGAATTTATGTTATTTAAATCATATAATTTATTTCTTAACCCTTTTCGGCATGCTACCTTTTAAAGTCGGAGTTTTGATTAAAAAAAAAAGGGTAGGCAGTCTAATTAGGCCTAGAGGAGTACGCAAGTAAAATTTTGTTAAGATAGCACTTATCGTTTTAATTCTGTGCATGTGCCCAAAGTGGCACACTGATTGATAGAGCTTCAAAAAGAGTGCTGAAACGAGCATTGTTGTCAATGAACTGACCGATGAGATGCGGAGAAACAAAGAATACAGACTCTCAGTTGTCGTAGATTACTTTTGAGCCCAGTCTGGGCACACCTAGGGTTCGCCGTTTGATTTTAGGCAAGATTTCAAGGTAAAAATTTAAAACTAATATAGAATAAGGAGATTAGCATACAGCCAAAAAAAAAATAACATAGAAATTTCTTTTCAAACAATTCCTTTTATACCCTAAAAAAAATCTGGAAGATTTTCTTTGAAAAATGAGGGTTTTAAAAAACTAAACATGGCTAAAATATATGGACTGGTTTGTGTTGAGCTGCCATCTACTATAAATAAAGAAGGTTCAGAGTAACATATAGTAACCTATAAATCTTTTTTCATTCAATTTTTCTGTGTGTACAGAAGGAAATTTTTAACTGTGTCCAGACCGGACACACTGTGCCTCAAGGGGTTAATGGGCATTGTCCTGCTGTAAGATTCCATTTCCAGTTGGGAATGCAAACGCCATGTAAGCATGCAACTGATCTCCAGTTATGTTCAGCTAGTCCGCTGCTTTCATGGTCTTTTCTACCACAGCTAAGGGTCCCAGAACCGTCTAGGCCTGCAAAGCATAATACTACTACCTTCAACCTGTGTATGAAGGAAGGAGCAACTGTTTGCCTGGAAGACGGTATATCCTGTCATGACCATCAATGTGATACTTAGACTTGCATTGTATTGTGCTGTCAGCTGAACCCTATCTGGTGCCGATTTTGCTGTACCAAGCAAGGACAGTTTCCGGTGCCTTTTTTCTGTGACAATGTACAACACCTTGGCATCTATTGCTGGTTTCACTTTCATTTATCCACTTCGCATAAATACTACCAATGGCAACATGTGAAGAATTTTCAGTAATTCACGATTTAATTTGCCTAAAATTTTGGGTCGGTACTTTTGGCAAGTTGTTGTAAAGAATCCTCATAGGATAAAGTTCCAGAATTGACCATAATGGGTAGAATAGCCTCTGAAGTGTTAGTGGACAGCTGCTGCTGCAATACCTGCACATTTGTGATTACATTTACATTATCTGATACATTATCTAAAACATTCAACTTATTTGCAGTTCATCTGATCCAATGATTTAATTGTTTAACAGTTTTACCAGAGTCGTAGCTAGGGTTTCAGCGCCCAGGGACAACTGAAGATTTCGTGCCCCCTACTGCTTGCCAAGGATGGAAAACATTTAATTCTAAAATGTCGTAACATCAGTTTGGCGCCCCTTGGATTCTGCGCCCAGGGACAGATGCCCCCCTTGCCCCCCTCTAGCTATGCCCCTGAGTTTTACTTGGTAATTGAAAACCATCACTATCTATGCTACAATTTACATTACAGTCAAAAGTCTTTAATCCGGACTCGTCGGGACTTCGGCGATTCCGGATTATAGATCATCAGTTTAAATCTGGTAAGATGGCATGCAGAAATTATAAAATTAAAAATATGAAACCGTAATTTATAAAATAATAAGCAATTATGATCTAGAGGATATCAAAATTTACAAAAAAAGAAGCTTAATATTTATTTGTTTACTTTATTAAACATTTCTTTCAACGCGCGCATGCGTAAAGTATACCTTACGCATAGCCGAAATTAGAAAATTGCAACCAGAAAACTATTTGATTTGTATTCGTGATATTTATAATGACGAGGAATTTGATTTAAATCATATCAAAGATGGAGTACATCAAGATTAAATACTACATTTAGTAAGGAATTATAAGCCGAATAAAATAAAAACATCTGCCCTGAAGATAACGATAGTGCTGACAGATCAACTTCCAGTTCATTGCGTGCCGCGACGTCCCTCCCCTGTGCAGAGCAGCGTTAAACTGATAAACAGATTTCGGAACGGTTAGATAAACAAAGGATATACCTTTATCCATTTTTTGTAGCAATTCAATTTTTGTTTGATGGACATCGAAACATACTTTTGTTTTCTAGATCCTTTGGGAGCTCCAGCATCGGAAATTCTATTTGACATAATCGAAAGTTCAAGCTTACTTTTATAAAATTGCTCTTACAGTCTGCAAAAAATAATAAGCCGGATCTAATTCGAAGATTAAGGAACAACACAATCATCAACATTAACTGAAATAGATAATTTTAGCTTATACTGTCCATTATACATTAAACGCGCATGTGAAAACATATTCTGTGCTTGTGCAGACGCATATGCGCAGTTGTAAATGTCTTGTGCGAACGCGTAAAACGGCTATGCGCATGCGTCAACGCGGCGCATGCGCAGAAAGATTTTAGCTTTGAGATCCGGATTATGGGTGTCCGAATTAACGACTTTTGACTGTATTAGTATGCTTAGAAAAAT